AAACACTGAATTTGAATGGGCAAGGTTGAGTGTGGGCAGGGGAACATTACCCTAAAATTTCAGCCTCCTAGACTTCGTGGTTCCCGAGATATTAATTTACCCGCAAGAAACTTTCACGGGGCCGTACGTGTTACCGCGGGTACGGGAAGGCTGAATTTCAATTTGCCGCGTCACCCGCTGGCGGGGAACACTATACCAAAATTTCAGCCGCCTAGCTTTTGTGGTTCCCGAGTTAAAAGTGCGAGACAAATAGAGCACTATACCAAAATTTCAGCCGCCTAGCTTTTGTGGTTCTCGAGTTGAAAGTGCGGGACAAAATGTGGGACACACACACACACAGACAACCCCGTATCAATATGCGTTTTGTACTGCTGTTACACAGCACAAAATGCGTAATAAACCAACACGGCATTATAAAGAAAAGTAAATTAAAACAGACCTGAATTTGCGAATAAAAGGAAAAAAAAAGCAAAGTCAAAGAATTGGAGTCTGCAACCGAAAGCAAAAAAAAAAGCAAAAGCAAACAAAAACTGAGCTTGTGCGAGTAGATTTGTTACACCTTTGTTTTTTGTCTTCAAAATCTTACATAATCAAACGCTGATTTCATCCCCGTGCATCCGGTCTGCCCTTCTTTTGCTCACTTCATGGAAGTTATTCGCCCTCAGTATCACCTAAGCATCAGTTTCATAAATAGGGGAAGCCATCCGCCGTGGGGCAGCCCTACCTACCGTCGGGAGAAAAAATTTTTTGCGACTTGCGTATGAGACGAGCCGGGCCGACCCGAGTTTTTGTAATTACCACTAAACGGGACTGGATGGATTGGGGTGGGGGGATAGGAGGAGGAAGGGGCATTGACTGCAAAGCGGCTAAGAAGATTTATGGAGGTTTCTCAAAACGAGGCATTTCCAGCAACCGAACCTGCAGACGATACGTGCTGCACTGGTGACATTGAGATAATGGCGTTGGGCATCGCGGAAGCGCAGCAGGAATTCTTGAAGCTGCTGGATCGTGTGGAGCCGCGCAGTGTGGCCGAGTTCCTGGACTGGATCAGTGAAAGTTTTGTTGTAGCCAAGTCGCCGGAGGAGCTAGGTTTGCTTTATCGCCTCCGGGCCTTAGCGCTTTGGTTGTTCAGCTGCGCAGCATTTGCATCGGATTTTGGTGAAAAGGGTAATTTTTCAGGCGCTGTTGATATGGGTAATGGTGCTATCGTATATGGAGGTCAAACAGCGCATATCGCCGAGTGTGAAGTTCTGTTAAAAAAGATAGCCATGGATATTCGATCCGAAGTACCATTCGATTCTCTTTTTTTTTTGCATAAGCAGGGCCCGCCTGTGGCTGGCGGCAAAAAATTGCCAAAAGCTTGACAAATAACAAGAATTAATAGCGAGAGGAAATGCAATTCAAAAGTGCCATCTAACTCACGTGAGACTAGAATTTTTGGTAGAATGAAGAAGAGGATGTGCTTAGTCAGTTGAATAGTTCGTATTCTGAAAAAGTATATGCAAAACACGTATAAGTAACGTGAAAATGCAGGATGTGCGTGCTGCTGTTTTGAAACAAATATTGTTTACTTCTGGGTGTAGCAGGACGCGGATGATGCGCATTTGAGTAGTGCGGTGCGAAAGAAAGGCAAAAGAAGTACAAAGGAAAGTTCTTCAGAATGGCCGATCAAGATGGCTGTCCAGGGTAGCACCGGAGCTGGTGAGACAAGGGATGGAGTAAATAGTAGACGAGCTTTTGTGGGATGGCGCATTCTCGTCA